TGATGTTAAGCCTTTAGTATCAAGTGTTGTCATTCCCTCCACTGAAGCCTCTTCGTCAGGCTCAGTGAAGACACCCACTGACTCTATCTCTCTAGCGTCAGAAGTTGTTCCTATTTCCACTAAAACCTCTCCTGGTTCAGTGAAGCCATCTGTTGACGCTGGTTCTTCAGTTTCAGTAGATAAACCCTCTAACATTGTTGGACCCAAATACATGGGGTACCAAAAGCACTTTTAAACTGTTCCATTGTGCAGGAAGTCAAAGGCATATGGTATCTCGATAGTGGATGCTCAAGGCACATGACCGGAGATCAATCCCTGCTCACTAACTACAAGGAAGAAAGAGGCCCTTTTGTGACCGAAAGAGGTAATGGAAAAAAGATATACCAAAGGTTTTGGTATATTTACCAATGGTGCAACCACATTCAGGCGTGTTGCATATGTTGAAGGACTAAAGCACAACCTTCTCAGTATCAGTCAGCTGTGTGACAAAGACTACACAGTGAAGTTCTCCAAGAATTCATGTTATGTCTATGACAAATATGATAAGTTTGCCTTGACCGGTTCTCGCCTAGAGAATGTCTACATCATCAATATGGATTATTCTCTCACTAAGAATAGTTGCTTCCTCCATAAAGCTTCATCGGATATCAACTGGCTGTGGCACAAACGGCTTTCCTACCTAAACTTCAAGACACTGAGCGAGTTGTCTATAAATAATCTTGTCACTGGTCTTCTTCAACATTCATTTGCAAAGGAATCTATTTGCTCAGCGTGTGAGAAAGAAAAACAAACAAGAGCTAGCTTCAAATCAAAGAAAATCTCTTCAGTGACATCGCCTCTTCAGCTACTGCACATGGATCTCTTTGGTCATGTGAACGTGCAATCTATCGCTGGAAAAAAGTATACACTCGTCATTGTTGATGAGTACTCCAGGTACACTTGGGTCTTCTTTCTCAGAACCAAAAGTGAAGCACCTTAAGACATCATATCGTTCATCAAAAAGATAGAAGTACTTAACAATATTAAAGTACGGTCTATTAGAAGTGACCATGGTACTGAGTTCAAAAAATAGTACTATGGATAACTTCTTTGAGGACAAGGGAATTTCTCACAACTTTTCTTTAGTAAGAACTCCTCAGCAAAATGAGGTTGCTGAAAGGAGAAATCGAACAATCATTGAGGCTGCTCGATCAATGCTCAACGAATCCCATCTTCCTACCAATTTCTGGGCTGAAGCTATTAACACCGCTTGTTTCACTCATAATCGGTCGCTGATTGTTAAGAGGTTCAAGAAGACAGGTTATGAACTTTTCCATGGCAGAAAGCCCTCTATCAGCTTTCTACATATCTTTGGTTGAACGTGTTATATTCTCAACAACCATGATCAACTAGGAAAGTTCGATCCCAAATCTGATGAAGAAATCTTTCTTGAATATTATTCAGTGTCCAAAGCCTTCAGAGTATTCAACAAACGACGACAGATGATAAAAGAAACTATTCATGTCACATTTGATGAATCTCAATCAGCTAATTCTAAACCCATCATAAATAATGACGAAAAATTAGAAAACTAGATGTTTTCTCATTATGGACAATCTGAAGCTTCCATCAGCGTTCCTCTCAATACTGAAGCCCAAGAAGCTGAAGATGATCCACTAATCATTCCAGTTACAGCTAGTCACACCAGTGTATCTTCTTCAGAGATCGTTGTTTTGCCCATTAGCTCTGTTCCTTCTTATACTTCAAGCACTGATCAATTAGTGAATGAAATGCCATCAGCATCTGAACCTATTTCAGTCGCTGAATTTGAGGCTTCTTTAGCAATTGTTCCAATCGTTGAAGAATCTACAGCTGAAGCCTCATCCTCTATTCTTGAACTTCTCTACTCAGATGATAATCCTCTACCAGCTCAGCGATGGACTAAAGACTATCAAATTCTTGGTGATCCAAGTGTAGGTATTCAGACTCGTCGTGGTCTAGGTAATATCTATCACTTTGTCAACTTTCTTTCTACAGTTGAGCCCAAGAAGATCAATGATGCTATCTCAGACCCTAGTTGGGTCATTGCCATGCAAGAGGAGCTCATTGAGTTTGATAGGAACAAAGTTTGGTACCTTGTCCCACATCTATCTAACATAACAGTGATAGGCACCAAATGGGTCTATCACAACAAGTTAGATGAAGAAGGTATGGTAACCCGTAACATGGCTCGTCTTGTTACTTAGGGTTATAGACAATAAAAAGGGATCGATTATGATGAAACCTTCGCACCAATGGCTAGACTCGAAGCAATTCGACACTTTCTAGCCGTTGTTGCCCATAGAGACTTCAAAATCTACCAAATGGATGTAAATAGCGCTTTCCTTAATGGAAAACTTCATGATGAAGTTTATGTTGACCCTAAATATCCAAACCATGTCTATCGTTTGGATAAAGCTCTTTATGGGTTGAAACAGGCTCCCCGTGCCTGGTATGATACCCTATCCTCATTTCTCATCTATGATAAATTTGTTCATGGAAAGATTGACAAGACCTTATTTCTTAGGAAAGTTAAAGGTCATATCATTCTAGTCCAAATATATATTGATGATATTATTTTTGGCTCCACTAATCCCTCTTTGTGTTTTCGATTCGCTGATCGCATGAAGAAAGAATACCAGATGAGTATGATGGGAGAACTAACATTCTTTTTTGGTCTTCAGATCAAGCAATCAGATAAAGGCATCTTTATCGGTCAGAGTAAGTATGTCCATGACATGCTGAAGAAGTTTTATCTCTCTAACAGCTCATCTATGAAAACTCCTATGGCTCCTCCATTCTCTTTCAACAAGGATCCAAATGGAAAGCCTGTAAACGTAACTGTTTATAGAGGAATGATCGGCTATCTGTTGTATCTAACAGCTAGTCGACCAGATATCATGTATTCTACTTGTTTATGTACACGATATGAATCTGAACCTAAGGAATCCCTTCTGATCGTTGTAAAACGCATCTTCAGATACCTGAAGAGAACTCCTAACTTGGGTCTCTGGTACGCTAAGGGTTCAGGTTTTGACCTAATAGGTTATTCGAATTATGATTTTGTAGGTTGCAAGATCGATAGGAAAAACACCACTGGAGGCTGTCAGCTTCTAGGTGGAGAGTTGGTGAGCTGGACAAGTAAGAAGCAAAACTCAATGTCCACATCAACTGCTGAAGCTGAATATGTAGCCGCTGGAAGTTGATGTGCCCAGGTCCTTTAGTTGATAAACCATTTAAACGACTACGATCTTCAGTTCTCGAAGATTCCTATCTATTGTGATAGCACCAGTGTTATTGCTATTGCAATTGCAAACAATCTTGTACTTCACTTCAAGACCAAACATATAGAGATTGTATATCATTTTATCAGAGATCATGTTATGAATTATGATATTGAACTTCACTTTGTTCCAACTGATTACCAACTCACTGACCTTTTCACCAAACCTCTTGATGAGACAAGATTTAACATCTTGATCAGCGAACTGGAAATGCTAAATACTGAAGAATAATTTTCTTCAGCTATACATCAATCAGTGAGTGAAATGATTCAGTGTTTCATCTCTATCACTGAACTCTTAAGTAAATGTATCTATTCTCTCTAAGGTATGTATACTTGTTCTTTTTCTAAACTTAAAATTATCACTGAAGTTTTCCTTTTTCAATGATTAAAACGTTTTAAAAGTATGTTTCAGTGATTCTTTCATTCATTGAACATTTTTAAGTAAGTATATCTCTTTTATACTTATCTTTTTCTTAAAATCAAAGTGATCCCTGAACTTTTCTACCTTCAGTGATTCAAATGTTTTTAAATGTCAGTTTTAGTGATTCTCTTATCACTGACACTGAAGCTTTTGATGAAAATATATTCTTCTAAGATATTTTCATTTCTTAAAACAAAAACCATCACTGAAGCTTTTCTTCTTCAGTGATCAAATGTTTTAAAAGGTTTTTATTAAGTGATTGTCTTATCACTGAATGTGACTCTTCAAATTTCTTAAAACCTTTTCGTTTTAAAAGAAATAGTTAATGAACCGTCTTAATGATGACATTCTCTGTAACCAATATGAATCGCTTTGAGACGCGCAAAAAGGTCTAACACACGCGACCTGTTATAACTTCCATCCAATCATGGATGAGAGCGTTCCATATTTCTCATCATGGCAATTCCTCAACAGTCATATTTTCCTCTCTCCTATTTCTTTTCTCATTCCTCCTACCTATAAATATGAGATCTCTTCCCTCATATTTTCTTTACGCTTACAAAAATCTTTGATGAACCTCTGCCAAAAAGACTTTGCAAGCAAGAACTCTCAAGAACACTCAAATCCTTCGACCTTCTTCTCAACAACTCTAAGGTCGATAACCTTCTTTACATATTGAACTGTTCTTGTTCTTTCTATGAAACAAATGTTTGAGATTTTAAGAACCATGTTCTCCTAAAACACAAATAGAAAGATTAATAACACATTCTCATTCATGGTTATAATCTAGTTTCAAAAACACTATTCTACTTGAAAAACCCTAATATCTCATTTGTGGATTTTTCAAAAAAAATTTGTTGTTCTAAAACATAAAAAGATCACAATCAAATCTTGGACTACTAATATAAATTGTTTTTCTTCTTATTTTTTAACCAAAAATAGAAAATGGCTGCCAAGAACGTAAACTTTACCGTGGAAGACATCTTCTTCAAGGCCAACAACCATATAGCCTTGTTGGACATACCCACAAACAAAACTATCTACAAGGAAGTTGTTGCCTTCCTTAAGGATGTCAAAGTTTGTAGAATACTCTGAAGACTTTGGATACAGAAGAATATCCAAGAAAGATTCATTCATCAGCTTTGGGGTCGAACTTTCCAAGTTGATCACGATTATTGAGAATAAAACACGTGCAACCAAATATATGAAGAAAGTTGAGGGAAGGCTTTCTGTTATGGAAGAGTTCGTAAGCTTTATTCTTGAATCTTTTAACGATCAGCGACCGGCTTTGAGTGAAACAAACAGTATTGACAGTTTCAGCCCAGAAACAAGTAGTATTGACAACTTCTCTTCATCTAGTGCTTTCTTCTTCTGAACAATGTTGTCAAACAATTTCGAATTCTTGCTTAGACGTTCTTCTTCAAACTTTTTCTTCTCTTTATCAAACTTAGCTCGTTCTAAGATGAAAACTTGTTCAGAATCTGATATTTGTTTTGAAAGTAATGAGGTATTCAGCTTTAATGTTTTAATTTTGCTTTCAAAAACTTTCCTTTCAGCATCAAATCTCTTTTCAGCTTCTATTATCTTATCCTTCTCCTTTTCCAATAATTTCCTTCCAGCAACAAATCTTTTCTCAGCTTCTAACAACTCATCATCCTTCTTTCTTTGAACATTCCTTTCAGCATTCAGTTCATTTTCAGCTTTACGGATTTTATCTACCAGTTCTTGCTTTATTTTGTTCGAATTTATCACTTCTTCATCTGACTCTTTTCTATCAGAATCTAAAGTCTTTTCAAGTTTACAAATCCTCAATATGAAATTGTTTTCATTTTATTCTATAGATTTTTTATACCCTTGTTTTAACCCTTTAATATATTCCAAGTTAGCATGATTATCACAAAACAATTTCCAATATTTTTCTTTTTGATCTTTCAAACAAATTTCCAATTCAAAAACCTTTTCTTTCAGATCTTTATTTTTGCTCTCAATTAAAGATGCCATTTAAAAATCAAGATTGATCAAACAAAGAATCTATGCAGTTCAAGAAATTGACCAAAGAAATTCTTTCCAAAAATATCTCAAAATCTCACACAGATCAAGAATTCACACTTCGCAAAATTTTCCAAAAATTCACAAATTATTCAAATTGAGAATACCAACAATAACAGTCAAAAATGAAATTGAATTAATATTCCAAAACAATCTCCTTGAAATCCAATCTGGTCAAAAACTCAAACAGTCAACTTTGATAATTGACAATGTGTAGAAAAATAAGACTATGACCAAGTTAGATGATACACGGACAAAAAAATGACCAAGATAAGATGAACTCAGACAAAGCTATGAACAAGTTAGGATGAACCTTTGACAAGGTTGTAGCCTATTAAACACAATCAATCAATCACCTTATGAACAAACCTGGACATGCTTTCATACGGATTAGGAAAAACTCGGTTAAGGCTGGATTGTGAGTTGGACATAAAACACAAACTACTTGGTCAATCCGGATAAGCTAGTATCCGGGGAAGGTTCAAATCAGGTTAACATGTGACCGAGACATGATGGAGTTCTGACAAGGTAGTGTCCGAGGTAACCCACAATCCGGTTGAAGTTATGATAGATGAAGATACAATCCGGACGAGCTTTTGACCGAGGAAGTTCAATCCGGACGAGTCTGTGTCCGAGAAAAGAGCAATCCGAACAAGGTGTCAAGCGATTTAGGTGGAAATCATATGTGTCCGGGAAATACTGTGTCCGAATAAGAGGTTGTCCGAGGAAGGGTTCAAATTTAACAAGACAGTGACCGAGGAGAATTGAGCTCGGACAAGGCAGTGTCCGAGGAAGGATGAGTCCGATTGATGAGGTGACCGAGAAAGGTCAATCTGACTAAGCCTATGTCCGAGAAATGTTCAAATCGGACAGGCTGTTGAGCGAGATATATGGAACTTGGACAATGCAGTGTCCGAGGAAGGTGCAAACCTGGTTGCTGTAGCTGAGAAAGGTTGAATCTGGACAGGCTTGTGTCCTAGGAAGGCTGAGTCCGGTTACCAGCTTGACCGAGAAGTGTTCAAAACAGGTTAAGTCTATGACCGATTCAAGAGAACAAGAGGCTGAGCTCGGTCAAGATTATGTGCGAGGATGGCAAAAACCAGTCAAAGAACTAACAAACAATCAAGTCTTATACATTTCTTCAATCTAAAATACAAATCTTCAATAATTTATACTTAAGAATGGATCAAAATCCAAAAAATTATGAGCTTTGACCAAGAACACAAAGTTTTTCAAAAATCACAAATCTTTTCAAATCTTTAATATCAATGATCAAATCACAAATTCGAAAGAATAACAATGATTCATAATGTAAAAACGCACACAATGGTCATCATTTTAACAATCAAACACCAAAAAATTAAAGATTTGAGAAAAATTTTATGAAAAAATGTGAAGAACACTCAAGAAAACACTTTGATGAATCTTAAAAAAATACAAATTTCCAAAAAATTGTGCAACTTTTTATGATTTTTTCAATTAAATTCACTGCAAATCCGCTCTAATACCAATTGTTTGTCCCAATCTTCAATCAATCTTCAATCTACATTCAAGAACACTATATATGGCACTATTCAAGAATATGATACTTGAGAGAAAAAGTCAAACAGCCAAAGGTCTTGCTTATTTCTCTAAGCTCAATATTACAAGTAATGACTCAATTAAGCTCCTAACCATCTACTAACTACAAAACTAAACCTATTTATAGGTCAAACAAAAATACAAAAATCAAAATCAAATACAAGAAATACAAAGTCAATCTTTCAAGGATGAATACAATAAATATCTAAAATTCAACCCTAACATTCTCCCCCTTTGGATTCGGGCTTGAAAGAATTTGTACACTTTGAATCCCTTTTGAATCTTTGAAGCTTTAAGCATTTGTAAGACTTCTTGAAATCTTCAAGACAGTTGTCTAAGATTCTCCCCCTCTCTTCATATTCTTCAAATAATCTTCCCTTGAAAACATCTTCCAAACATTCTCCCCCTTGAATGTAGATCAAAACAATCTTTTCTTTTCACAATGAAGAACTAAAACAACAACAGTCTTAAGAAATAATCTTCAAGAAATGATCTTCAAAGAACTTCTTCAGATAATATTCCTAACATTCTCTCTTTTAAGAATCAAATATTCTTTCCCGAAAACAAAGTTCAACAAAATAGATATAACATTCTTCCCCACTAGAAATCTCTTTCAGTAAACTTCTGTGAAGATGAGATCTTCACATTCAACTCCCTCTCGAACATTGTAGCACAAGAATAATATTCAGCAATAAGCAACGATCGTCACATTCACTCCTTGAATCTTTAACACATTCTTGATCTTCAGAATTGACGAAGAAATTTTCATTCATTATATATTACTCTCCCTTATGATGAAATGAGAAGCATTTGCATCATACATCAGAATAAATGAAACTTGAACGTATGCCGTCAATTCGTAAAATTTAAAGCAAATCTTTTCAAATCCGCTTATATAATCTTTTCATATATGAAGATTAGAGAAATAACCAAATTCAACATATGAATTTGTTTTCAATCTTATAAAATATTGGCCTGTGAATATAACAAATATATTCAATACAACGAATTTTCTTCATATATGAGACTTTTTAAGGTTCATCTCACCAGGACCTCCATTAAATCATTGATGGCTTATAAAGAGCATATCTATGAATGTTATAGCAAAACAACAAATATTTTGCAAAATTTGTGTAGTGTAAAATGATAAAGAAACAAATGCTTCAAATTAGGCTCAAAAAGATAAACAGTGTGGACTACACAAATTTATCATACTCAATTCGTGATCAAAAAGACTTGAAGGGGGGGGGGGGACATATATCCTTCTTTTTCAATATCAATTTTCTCCAAATGAGAAACTGATAGATTATGAGCTGCATTCTCCAAGTATTATTGAAACAATCTTTTAAGAGATAACTGAGTAGCTGGTTGGGTTGTGACAAGAATTGGTCTGGACTTTGCCTTTTTCAATATTAGACTCCAAAGAATTGAGAACTAATAGATTTTGTGGTTTGCCCGAATTATAAAGGATAAAACAGGATTACTTTAATCTTTTAATTTTGACACATGAATTATTTTAGATCACAACAACTACTCCTCTCATTTTCATTTTAGGCTATGCACACAAACCCATTTTGCATAAGCTCACTCAGATATGGATGTCCTCTTAGGTAGGTCTGTCGGTTCTAAAATTCCATAGAGGTAGTTCTATGAAGATATCAGTCCCTCCTAAAATTAACAATGTAAGCTCATTTGATCACAAATGGTTGATCAAAATATTATTGCAAATAAGCTCAAATGATCAGATAAAATTAATCAAGAAAAATACAGTGATAAAGCACAATCAACAAGGAATGATGTACAATTCAGTTTATTCAAAATATGTGGGAGAAAAGAATGAAGATCTGTAAGTACAAGTTTACAGATTCAGACAATCAAAAAATAAAGAATTTTGTATCAATCAAAGAAAAAAATATTTCAGAAAACAACTTTGAATACAAACGAGTGTATTATCACCGAAAATGATTTTCATTTAAGAGACGTGATAATAACAATTTAAAAAATAGCTGAAACAGGTATCGGAATTATGTACGAAGAGAAATTACGCAAGTAAAATCTCAAGAATTATCTGATCAGAAATGATACTCGTTATCAAAAACTCTTCAGATTCCAAAAACATTTATGAAAATCCTTTCTACAACTCCCCCTAGAAAATAGATTTAAGTAATTTTCTTTTCAGCTCAAAAACCAAACAAGAAAACATTTCAGCTCGAGTCTTAAACTGACTTGTTCAGAAGCCATATTTCAGAAAGTTTACAAACTCCCCCTGCATCAGTGCATCATATAGAAGATATTTCGTATCAACATGGCATATGACACACCTGCAAAACAAATCAAGTAGACTTTGGTACCCAGACAAACTTGGATCCTACTTTGTTAGTATTGGGCTGGGGAATATTGTAACTTCCAAACCATCTGTTCCTATCAAATGTATTCTTTTTAGCACTTTTAACAAGTTGATCAGATAAGCAGTAAGAACCATACCAATTATTATCATACTTGTTAAATCCATTCCAGCTGTTCTCATAGTTATTGTCTCCATATCATCTGTTGAAACTTTTCTTATTTACAAAGTCATTAGTTCTGCAGGTTGAGCACAAGATTCTTCTATTTCTAAGATTGATCAATTGATTAGTGGATCTCATAATGCAAGGAAGAACAGTGTCAGTAACAACAGATATATGAGACTCAACTGAATCAGCTTTATTGACCCAAACTTGTTTAGCTTTTGAAAGATTATTGGGTGATCCAATGACATACCCTTGATAAAACTGATTTGAAGAACGAGACTTGTTCTTAGAAACAGTTGATTTAGGGATGCTTGAATGACTATTGGATTTAACACTAGAAGAGTCATTTTACACTAAGATTGAGAACCAATTGAGCTTTTAGCACTTGAAAAGTCTTTTACTTTCTTGAGTAACCGGTCTCTCTCATCAGCAACTAAATCATATTTCTTTTTAAGTTCAGCTCTCATGTTCAATTCAGTAACAAGTTATGTCTCTAGATCAGACAATTTCTTTGTAGATTCCAAAAACTTACCTTCCAATTCCTTCTTCAGCTTTTCAAAATCTTTTCTTTTTTTCTCAAACTCCTTCATCTCTTCATTTAAACTTTTCTTTTCATTTTCAGAAGCAATGTCAAGCCATTTCTTCTTC